TATCTGCTACCAAGTGTGTTTTTGGGACCTGCTTGGCCCTGGTTCTAACTAGACCGAACTTGTTCTAAAGAGTTCTAACTGCCAGAGTGCTGCTGGAAGCCATGGTCACCAAGGAATTTCCCTGAATACATGTAGGTGGCTAGCGTCTTAGAAAACACAACCAGGTAGAGTAGAGCTGAGGAGGACTGGTGGAAACAACCTTTAATGAAAAACATTGTAGTATTGAAGTTGCTTGTTTATGGACTTTTGCTCAATAATTGACAAGAGTTATGTTATAAATTAGAAGCATGGTTAACCACTTCAAAGCTCTATTCATGAGCTCAGACGCTTGTATTAATAACTACTGTATGTGAAAAGGACCAACAATTGTGTTTGCTTTCTGTCTTTTCATCAATCAATCAATCAATCAACGTTTATTTATAGAGCGCCTTTCCTACACAAGGCAACGCAAAGCGCCTCACAACCCATATAACATCATGCATAAATCATCAAACATTAGAATTTAAGTAAACATAAAAAGACAGATTAAGAGCACAAGATATATAAAATCACACAAGTAGTTAAAAACCGTAAAACATTAAAATCACACAAGGGATTACAATCATAAATAATCATAAATAATCATAGCGCATTAAAAAGATTAAAGATAAAAACAAATATAAAATCATTCACTTGTATGCACAGCTAAAAAGAACTGTTTTCAGTTCAGTTTTAAAAACTGCTAGAGTAGACGCCTGTCTCACACTCTCGGGAAGACGGTTCCAGACTCTAGCTGCATGAATCTGAAACGCAGCCTCCCCATGTCTAGTTCCGACTCTTGGCACTAACAGAAGTCCAGTCCCTGTGCTCCTCAGAGCCCGAGTTGGTTCATATGGCACCAACATGTCGCGGATGTACCCTGGTGCGAGGCCATGGAGAGACTTGTACACAAGTAAAGCTACTTTAAAATCTATTCTCTGAGCCACAGGAAGCCAGTGCAGAGACCTGAGGACCGGACTAATGTGGTCGTACTTCCTGGTTCTAGTCAGGACTCGAGCTGCAGCATTTTGGATGTACTGCAGCTGTTTTACCGCTTGTTTAGAGAGACCTGTGAACAAGCCATTGCAGTAGTCCAATCGACTGGAGACAAATGCGTGGATAAGAATCTCCAAGTCTGCTTTAGACACAATGTTCCTAATTTTAGCAATGTTTCTTAGGTGGAAGTAAGCTGATGATGTCACAGATGATATGTGGCTATTGAAATTTAAGTCTGAGTCCATTATTACTCCTAGATTTCTGACCTGAGTTGAGGGTTTTAGGGAGAGAGACTGGAGGTGGCAGATAACGCTCTCTCTTTGTTTTTGAGGTCCGAAAACAATAATTTCAGTTTTTTCTGTGTTTAGCTGGAGAAAGTTATTTTGCATCCAATCACTGATTTGTTGGATACAGTGAAGGAGCGAGTCCACTGGTCCATGTTCTCCTGCTGTCAGGGACACATAGACCTGAGTATCGTCAGCATAATTGTGATAGGACACGTTATTACTGTGTATTAACCTACCCAGAGGCAGCATGTAAATATTAAACAGGAGAGGCCCCAGGATTGATCCCTGTGGCACTCCGCAGGTTAGGGCCAGATGGTCTGAGATACAGTTTCCGATCTCCACAAAATACTTTCTGTCCTGTAGGTAGGATATAAACCAGCTTAGGGCTGTTCCAGAAACACCAACCCAGTCCTCAAGTCTCTGAATGAGGATACCATGATCGACAGTGTCGAAAGCAGCACTTAAATCTAACAGGATAAGAACTGAGACTTTTCCTGCGTCAGTGTTAAGTCTGATGTCATTTGTTACCTTCACTAGAGCGGTCTCTGTGCTGTGGTGGGGTCTAAAACCAGACTGGAACATATCAAAAGAGTGATTGATTATTAAAAATTCTGTAAGTTGTTGATAGACAACTTTTTCTAGAATTTTACCCATGAAAGGCAGATTTGAAATGGGCCGATAATTTTTAAGTGCCAAGGCATCCAGACTCCTCTTTTTTAGGAGGGGTCTGATGACTGCCGTTTTCAGGGCCATTGGGAATGTTCCAGATTCAAGAGACATATTTACTATATGCGTGAGTGAAGGTAAAAGACTGCTCAGAACAGATTTAAGAAATCTAGGAGGTAATACATCCAGGCTACATGTAGAAGAACTCAGACTTGTAATTATCATTTGGACAGTTTCATTTTGTACTGGTGTAAAGTGTGTCAGCCCAAAAAGCTTCACTGGCTGTTGGATTGTAATTTCTACTGTGGAGGTGATGGCATTTTTGATGCCTTGGACTTTGTCATTAAAAAACTCTGCAAACTCCAAAAATTCATGTCCTGTCATCCTCTGCAAAGTTGTTTTTACTGTTACCGATCCATGTTTCACATTTAAGGAGAAAGAAATTTAAAAGTAAGCTCAAGTAAAGTACAGTTTTTTTCTAATAAATGTAGTGACCAAGCCTGACCTAAGCGTGAGGGGTTTTGATAAGCAGTTTCTCCATACAAGAGCTTTTACTTAACTCACTCCAGGTCAGGGCCTTTGTGGGCAGTGAACATATTAAGAAAGCAGCACAGGAGAGCCCTTTGTTTATGTTAGTGGAGTGTCATCTGGACCTGCCTCACTGAAGTCTGCCTACAGCTGGTGTGAAGGAGCAGGAGACGGAGCGAGACAGCTGGATCCTAAACGGCCATCTCCCCCACGGGCACCAAGATCAGAGAGTGTGTGTGTGTGTGTATGTGTGGGAACTCCAGAGTTGGGCAAGGGGTTCAGACAGACAAAACAAGATCTCATAGACGTTGAAAACATTGTGGGAAAACGCTGAGAAAATGAACTGAAGGGTTAAAAAACGTAATCTGCAAATAAAGGGGGATGAGGCCAGAGCAGACGTATGTTACATGTAAAGCCCATAGGAAAGTTTCACAGGCGCCATAAACACCAGCGTGTCGTTCATGGGAAAGAGAAGCTTATTGCGGGACCACAATGGGTGTGACACCTCCTAAAGACTGGTTAGGTCGCTTTATAGCTCCAGGACGTAGAAAACTCGTCTGTCAACAGAGCACTGAGAAAACACTGCAGACACTTATTTAGGCCACTTCTCCACAAAACTACTGAGATTGAGTGGTTCCTTGCAGATGCAGTTGGGTCTGAGGACAGTAATGATCCAGGTCATTTATCAACATTTATGGACAGTGGTCATGGAGATCCTATTATCTTTTGTAATTATTGCATTTCTTGGTTCCACATACTTGATTCTCTGATCTGTGTTGGCAAATTGACCATTTTGTAAAGTTCTCTGAGAAGACTGCTGTTGTGATTAAGGGCTATGAAAGATTATTTGTCATTATATTTCATCTGTATAATTGACTTTGTTGTGTCTGAACATATGAGCCATTGATGATTATGCAGATTATCGGAGTTGTACAGTTATGGCAAAATATCTAATAGCAATATGTATGGCAATTTTTGGTAATCCTGTGTGTTTAAAAAGAGTAATTTTGCTCAGAGTAAACATGACAAATAGATAAGAAGCGATGACCTTACATTTCAGAACATAAATTCTGACCTATAGTTTGATACATTCATCCATCCATTTTCTTCCTTTTTGTCAATTTCTGGGTTGGGGGGCGACAATGAGCTGCCACCCAATCCAGAGCACCAACCCCTTACTGATCCTCAGGAGGATGGCTGCTCTGTCAATGAGAGCATAGCCTTGATCTTCCAGCGGGGGCTTCAGGCAAAGTGGGGTTAAGAGTCTAGCACAAGAACACAACGACAGCAGACATCAGTGGGAGTCGGTGGAGAAGGTCTCATGGTGGGCCTCAAACCAACAACCTAGTTAGATATAAAAAACACTTTGATGTCTATAGTCATATTTTTCTTGTAAACCACATAACAAGATTCACTGCAAACAAAATTTAAATATACAAAAACACTTAACTATTTAATTATATTTTCCTTTGCCAGCAAATCAGACCTAAGTTTTGCAACACATTTAGACAGTTTTGGCATCAATCAAAAGACATTCAAAAATTAGATTTTTTTCAGTGCCTTCTATTTGCAAAGAACTAAATCTTGGCCTTTTGCAAACTTCATCTCAAAAATGTCACTTTCGATTTGATTATTTGTGAAGCTAAAATGAATATTAATTGCGAAACCCCATCCAAACTTCATAATATTCTAAGAATGACCCAAGTTGTTACAAACAGTTTTTAATCCAAACAGATTCCAATATATAAATGACTAAGAACCAGCTTAACAAGATTGTTACTATATATTACAGGATTTTTGAGTACATTAAAACGCTCTTAAAAAATGACAAAAACAGTGTATTTACAACATAAACATTTACAAACATTTCTTTAAGAGCCAGTGGTAGCACCATGATTTCCAGCATGGAGGAAGGAACCATTCAAACACCATTAGGTCCATCATCCTGCAGCGACAGTTGTGGCAGTGACTGCGGCAAATGTCTGTAATACTCAGAAGGTGAGACAATTGGGCTCAAATTGAAGTAGGGGCAGTAGTAAACACAGTCATTTTCAAGCCCCAGTGATCGTTATATCAAAAGGGGATCAGCCGGTTCAGAACAGACCTGAAGGAAGCCATTTTAGGAACTGCTTTACCGAGGTCAATCCTTCATTTTTTTGACAGGGCCCTTTTTATCCTTGTCGAATCCTTCATATTTCCAGTGTTCACACACAGTGTAGACTCAGGTGCTCAGTATCTGGGTGTAAGAATGGCCTTGATTTGTGTAAAAATAACAGCAGTCTACATTAACTTTGGCTTTTAGCGCATCAGAACTGGATGCGACCTCGGAAAACACTGCAGTTTTCATTTAAGCTTTATGACAAAACTAAGATACAAAATACTTCATTCATCCATTGTTGAAATTCCACTGAAAGTAAATTCCTTCAAAAGGCCTGTCCCGGGCCAGAAAAACAGGTAAGTGCAGTCTAAGGCACTTGAATCGTGAGCCGGGGAATGTTCACAGAGCTAGACAATAGTTCCTGGTTTGGACTCTTCGTGCCAGTAAATCTGCTCGGCCGGGCTCATGCCTGGGTGCATTGGGTGGGCCGTCGCCGTGCGGGTCTCGCAATGGCTGACGTCGATGTAGGACCTGTAGTGAACACAAGATTAAAACACATTAGGCGTAACTTTGAAGGAGTCTGGGGACAGCTGGAGAAGGCGTCGACCCCTCCTGTGATAATCCACGTTTGTGCTGGAGTCACCTCACGCTTGTCACATGGCAGGGACTGTTTACGCACATTGATAATCACGACATGCTTCTGATGAGAGTTTGGGGTCTCCGATAACATGTCCTTTTCTTATGTTAAACCGAAAGGCTGGGACGAATGAATGGCTTTAATTGTCTGATAGGATTTATGCCCCTGAGCTGACCTCTTTCCTTCACAGGTCACTGAAACAGGAGTCAGTTTGAGTAGTTTGACCGCAACATGCTCTACGCCTTTATATAGTTTGAGAGTAAGACTTTATGTGTGCGTAAACAGCCCTACACGTTTCACTTCATGTCCTAACTGCCACACCGTCCTTCTGCCAGAAATCATTACAAATCAGTGCATTCCACCACCGCATGACACCCAGGAACACACAATCAGCAAAGAGGAGTGAGATTTGCGCGGGTCTTGTTACCACCACCATAAAACCCGTGGGCTTTTATACTTCCTGGTCTCACCCTTTGTCTATTGGGGGAATGTGTAAGTTTCCTGGTCGGTGGTACAGGGCACAACAGGCCGTGCCATCCCCAACCTTTCAAACTCTGTTGGACATCTGTGATATAGAGAAGCGACAAGGGATGAGCAAGAGACGCTTCGGGTTCAATGAATCATCCCTGCCCCAGTTTTAAAAGAAATAATGATGGTAAAATAATATATGGTGTTTATGTTCTGCTCTTCCATGGGTCTGACTGGGTCCAGGCAGTGGTCACTTTGAGAAGCCGCATGCACGTTTACTACACCACACAAACCAAGCACCTCAAAAATGCACTTCACTCCAAAACACTGAACAAGCCAAAAATTAAAGGAGGAGGCAAACGCAGCGACAGTGACCGGGGGCTGTGTACTTACAAGAAGCTACCTTTGGGAAAGAGCGCCTGACTGACCCCTGCACCCTGCGTGGGAAGAGGAGGAGGTCTGGACAGGACAGTAAGAGGGGGAAGGAGCAGCAGAAGCAGCAGCAGACCTAGAGGGGAAGGAAGGGCAGCGCCTCGGGTCATCAAGGCTGCACCAGGAGCCCTTTAACAGCTGAGAAGAGCCGTATCTAAAAGAAAAGCAGGGGCCAGGCTGGAGTTAAGGAGAGGAGCAGTCTTAAAGGTTCAGAGGGCAGAAGCTGAGGGTCAAAAGTGAGGGACGTCCTATTGTTAAGTCACACTACACTGACCGTCATATACATTTAAGAACGCTGTGTCAAAAGTAAAAACATTAATAGAATACATGATTAATAAAAAGGTTATAAGCAACAGGAATCTTAATTAGACTTTATTTTTTTAAATATAACTTTGAAACCTCATTAAATTTGAATAATGTTATAATTATGGGTCGACCAATTATCAGCCAAGTGAATTATCTGCACAATATTGGCCTATATCGACATAATGATATATGATAATAAAAATGATAGTTTTTACTTTACTCAATCATTGGTGGATTCCTTTCTCATAATTAGTTTATTTTGGTGTATTTCAGGCAAAATCAACTTAAATATCATAACTCTTAATTTTGAATTTTAGATCACATAAATTACCCGGGAGATCCACCCACCCCCTGAACCTTTTTGCTTTTCTATTAGTTATTCGTTTTGTTAAATAAACATTTCTTAATAAATAAACTTCAGATATTTAGACAAATGTAAGTGTTTGACTTTGTGTATAATAAAAATGCTGATATTTTTACTTTTGCTGCAAATTAATATCGGCTCCATATATAAGTTATTAGCTTCTTTGAGTATCAATTATTGAATCAGCCCTGAAAAAAAAATCTCAGCCCACCTCAAGTTATATTTACATAAAAAAAGACATCAGATTATACATTTTCAATAGCCAGTCAGTTAATTAATTAAAAGCAGTGCTTAGCTTGAGGGCTAAGTAGGATCAGGGAGTGGCTTATTGGATAAGTTGTTTCCTCACCTGCTGTGGGCTGCGTGGCTGTAGGGGACAGAGTTGTACGAGTAGGACTGATGCGCATGCACGGGCAAGTCATACTCCAGCATACTCCCAGACACGCTCCCGTGCCAGTTCTCCGAAGAAGACACTGGAGGACACAACAAGGGCCGGGATTAGTGCGTGTCAACATTCAAGACCAAATTAATTCAATTTTTTATAGTATAGCCCTAAATCACAACAGCAGTAGTCTTGGCGGACATTACAAAGTTGTGGATTCACCAACACAGATCAGAGAATCAATCACTTCAAACACATTAAATGCAATAATAACAAATACATAGGAGCCATTAGACCTAAGGGGGCAGATGACCAATGTCCATAAATGTTCTTAAAGGCACACCGCGGACTTTGTGACCTAAAGAGTTGACACATATGAGTTATTTTATATGAATACTTGGGCCAATATACAGCGCTTGACACTTGCAATGCTCCGAGCGGGGCTGCCCTCTTGAAATACCGCCCATGTAACTTTCGAGCAGACGGACCGTCTGCCACCAGGTCACGTGACTTGGAAGAAACACTTGCTTTACGGCTACAGGCGCTGATATACTCATGGAGCTAAGGCTTTTGCTACTCATTTTTCACCTGCTCGACTCCTGGTCATGGCTGAGGCAAGGAAAAATTTTAAACCTTCGGAGGAGGCTAAAAAGAGGAAACGCGAAAGGGATCGTGCTGTAAGCTGCATGTCTGTATGAGCGCTGCTGTTCACCTGGTTCCTGGATGTCATCGACTGCAAAGATGTCATTCCACGCAGCACGAGCTAGACGCAGAACTCCCTCATCCAGGATATAGAAGTCCATGTGTGGTAGATTACTAATGCAGCGGTCTGGAGGCTGACCACAGCAGAGTCTCTCAATATCTGTAGGCATGTCTCTACAGTTTGAACACACACACCAGTGCATGCTGTCTGAATACACACTCAAAAGACACCGGCTGACTGTTTGTTGACTTTTGCGACAGTGCTGAGTTGCTTGTGGCCACTAGGGGCGCTAAACGTGAAAGTTGCAGGTCTAGCGCCCCTAGTGGCCAAGAGTTACACGGTGTGCCTTTAAATGTCCAAATACACTCTGTTCTGTGTATCTTCAAGTAATTTAAATCCAGCTGCATAATCAGAAAGGAGATTGCCCCCGACAGACACATAAATGGTGGAGAACAACAGCGCAAGCCATAATGAAAGTAACATGCTGTGAAGGGAACGCTGTTTTTGGCATTAAAAACAAACAGAGATCCCAAAGTCCCATTATAAAGTGCTGGTCTAAGTTATTCAAAGCTAAACTATTTTTACGGCCCATACTGGGATTCAGTACTAACCTGTGGAGTAGGCGATGTTTCGGTTGCTGTGGCAGTACGGCGCGGGCATGGTCTGGTAGCCCATGCTGGGATGGGAGCCTCTGTCATAGTCGTAGCTGTATGTGGGCTGTTTTTGTGTGGCGTTGCGCTGGTACCAGTCTCTCAGATGCCCCGCCACAACTGCCTTCTTCACGTTCTTCACATGGTCCTCGTTGGGTCGGGGGGCTGGGCGGTTTCTGGGCGGCCTCAGCGTGGCGTAAAGGTTGTGCATACTGTCCACCTCGTCGCTGGTGTAGTACCCGTGCATGTCGCTGTTGTGATAGGCCGAGGAGTGCGGGTGGTACGCGTTCACGCTGTAATGTCCTTCCATCTCGTTGTCGTACATGTAGGTGCCATTGCAGTACGGCTCGGGATCGGCGTAGGAAGGGTATCCGGTGACATAGTATGCGGTGGTGGATGGGCGCGCCCGGGGTTGGTAAGCGTAGGAGGAGCGCGTGTCCGGCTGTGCCAGATTGGGCATGCTCCCGCTGTTTGCGTATAGATCCTTTTTGTGGCGCCCACGAATCCTGCGGCGTGGGTTGTGGTGGCCCGGGACGCTGTACTCCACGCTGGACTGGCTGGTGTAGGAGGAGCCGTCGTCCAGGACCTCAGTGCTGTTGCTGCGACGTGCTGGATTGAAGACATATGTGGGCATCGGAGGCTCTGGTTCTGGATACTGAGACTGCGACTCCAGACTGCCGCTGCGCTGACGAAAGTGCTGAGATGGTTCCTCTGACCTGAAGTAAAGAGAAAAAAAATGTTTTTTAAAAGTTTTTAATATTTGTTGGCAATTGTTATATGCACAATACAAAGCACTGCAAAGAGAAAATGATTGAAAAGAGCAAGGAAAGTTTATTTGTATAGCACAACAGAAGGCAACTCCGAGCGCTGAACAAAACAAGACAGAAACAATCACACAAGGAATTCAAATCATAAATAATCACAGTACATTACGAAGAGTAAAGATGCAACCACTCAATTGTATGCGCAGCTAAACAGAACAGTTTTTTTTAACCTGGATCTAAACATTGTCAGAGAAGAAGCTTACATTTTCAGGAAGACTATTCCAGATTATTCCAGATTTTAGCTGCATGAATCTGAAATTCTGCCTCCCCATGCTTAGTTGTGACTCTGAGCACCAGCAGAAGGCCAGTCCCTGTGTATAAGTGTATATATTTTTCTATCAATGCCCCTGGCCCCAGCCCCTTTTTGTCTGTTTTCTTTTATATTATTTAAGGAAAGCCCCTTGAGATGAACTATCAAAGCAAACTAAAGGGGCGATTTCTTGGAAACATTTCTTGCTGGTGGCATATGAACTACTACAAAGAAACAACACCATTTTGATCAGGATTCTGTCATTCAAGCCTATATTATTACAATTATGTTATTTTTTTGGTTTACAGGAGACGTGACTGTACCTGAGCTGGGTGCTGCTGTAGGCGTTGCGGGTGAGGACGGGGGTGGGTGGCATGCTCCGTGCGTCACGTGGCTGCCTGCAGGGCTGTTTGTACGGGCTGGCAAGGCTTGACAAGGGATCGCAGTTAGTGTAATAGTACGGATCCTGGCCACAATTTAATCTGAAAAGAAGATAAATAGATGCTTTCAGAATCCAGCCCTTCTATCAAAGCAAACAATCTGACCTCAATTTAACAAAAGGAGAAAATCAACACCTTTGTAGCAGCATTTGAGTCATTGCTAACACCTGGCTGAGTGTCATTTCATAGCCCAGCCAGCCTTCTGCCCATAAACTATTGTCTCCTCTGCTGCAATTGAATTCTACCAATGTTTTAGTGAGCCAGTGTTTTTATATTTTCTCTGCAGTGGCCTGTTCTTTTCCATCCTATTTTTAAAGCCACTGTGTTTTGGCTGATAAGGGGAGTAGATTGTTGAGGCGGCAGGCCGGGACGAAGAGGGAGGCGACTGGCAGGAATGTAGCTCTGGGTCTGATGCTGCAGGTCTGAACTGGCTCCAAACTTAAGGCTTTGAGAAAAACAACCCTCCAAGAGGCTGAGTCGACAGTAATATGGCGTACCTGCTGTCGGCCTGCTGGTCGTTGGCTGAACATGGTTGGTCTCTGCTGTAGTGGATGTCCAGCGCGTCGACGTGATGCGGTCGGGGCGAGTACTGCACAGACCTGGACCTCTGCCTCTGGGAACCGAGCTCCTCATCTGTGGCAAGAGTACATGGTTAGTTAGGAAACGCCAGCGAAGATCCAATCAGAAACGGACGCATACGCACCGTCATCCAGAGTGAGGCTGTCTGATAAGGAGCTGAGTTCTGAAATGTTCACATCATCTAAACAAATGTAAAAAATAAATAAATCAAATAATCTTGTTTTCACATTTAACACACACACATACACAGTTTTCTTTGTACTATACCTGCTAATATGAGAGATGCTCGTTGCGTGGGTATCCTCCCCTTCATAACCCTGTATGCATTAATCTCCTTCTCGATCTCCTCCAACTTCCTCATGGCGTCTAAAAAGTTGCACTTTCTTTTCTTCTTGACCGTCTTGCACAGGTCGGCCTCGTTGGATAATTTCAGGGCAGCTTCTACGATCTTCTGCTGCAGAGCAAATCTGCTCTCCAGATTTCTCAGGTGTGGATCCTGCAGCAAAACAATATTTTGCGGAGATTAATGCCTAACATTTTGTTATTGTTTTTTACAGAAAGACTATGTCACATGTTGTAAATAAAGGTCACATTATGCTGTCTCTATTTTATTAAAAGACATGTTATATGTTGCATACTTTTAAGAGTCCATGGATCCACTATTGGATGCTTTGAGCCTATTTTCTGTCCTAAAAATGTGGATGTGACAGAAGCCAAAAATGCATGCCTGTGAAAACTAGTGAGAGAACCAAACTGTTTTAGAGCTTTGGATATTGTAATCTGTTGATCTTGGCTTCCATCTCAAATAAATGGTCAGCCACTGTAAATTCTTATTTCAAAAATCCTGTGATGAAACATGGTGAAATGTGATGTTGCATCCTGGACCCTACAGCTTCTTACACATTTGGGATCATTTCACAACATTGAAAATACTGAATCATCCAAACCTCATCATACGGGAACAGGTCGTCTAACTTAAATGCTGTCCCAACACGCCGGCGGACTTGAGGAGCTTTTTCCCCAGCCGCTAAAGGATAATCTTTAGGCAATTTTCCTGTAAGCTCCTGCAAACAACAACAGGAGTGAGGAGTGAGCAAGTGGTCTAAAAATAGGTCCAAAATGGTGTTAAAAAGAAGGCACTCACAGACTCTCGCAGACAGATTTTCTTCAGCTCTTCCAGCTTCAGCGCCAGAGCATCGTGAAGTTTTTTCTCCTTCTTTTTCAGCTCGGACAGTTTCTCTTTCTTCTGCTCCTCGCTCACCTCGGACTCGCCTGAACCTAAATGACATGCACCTGTGATTGACTTTAAATATTGCAATAAATCATCACCTGCCAATGTGCCGCGGCCCAGAAGTCATTAAAAGCTGATTAAGTGGCGTACCGGCTGAAATGAGGCTGCCGTTGCTGGCCATAATGAGCTGGTCTTTGCTTTCCATTTTGGAGAGCTTAGCGATGCGTGGAGCGTGGATTTCTGTGAGGTCCACAGCAATGTCACCGGTGCTTCTGGCTGTAGTCATCGTAGCCTGCAGAGGAAGCAAGTGGAAATAAGCTGCTTAATGAGAGAATATTTGATTTTGGAAGCAGCTACATTTGCATTCCCTGCTCATTAATCACCGTGGCCAGTATTCCTGGATGAAATATCAACAATCTTTTGATCTTCCTTTAATTTGGAACATTATGCATTCACTCAAATAAACAATTTAGTGTGAGGCAAGAGAAAGCACAACTTCTCTCAGTATATACAATAAGAATGAGTATTGTGAATAATTAGTCGAAATACTTGGATGGACCACTCACTTTGCTTTGTCTTCTGTCCAAGTAAAACTGGTGCTGACTAATGGCCATCGCCCAGATGGTCTTAATCAGAGAATGGCTGGCGTACCATGAGTAAATCACCAGGCCAGCTTGTCCAAATGTCCGTTTGGTCACTGTTCTTCTGGACAGTAAGAAAAGAGATGTCATTAGAGCTAAATAAACAAACAGGGCATTCTTTTTTTAAAGGAGGCATCTGTTTGTTATGATAATCTATATTTAGAAGCATCCATCTGAATGTAATTAGACTTAAAAATAGTACAGTATATACCCGTCTCATGTGTTACAACCAGGGAGTAATATTTGATGGTAGCTTTTGCGGGCTGTCACTGCCACATAAAAGGAATAGAGCAGCACTCTCTAAAGAGGAGCCGAGATAACAGGGGGTCTAATCAAACACTATTTTTGACATATTCTACAAACATGTTACAAAAAGAACTAAATGAAAAAAAGAAGAAGAAGACATATCATTTTAAAGTTTGTATGTGAAGTCTCCAAAGCGTGGACAATGAAGGCAGGCAACATTCGTTCACAAGACAGGTTTATAGGCATTAGCTCAGTCTTAAGTGGGCTAGTGCATGCCCTTCACCCAGAGCAAGGGCATCGGACATTATCACAGCACTTGAACCAGTCTCCTGGAACACACTGCAAAACCGCTGCTTTCTACTGACCTGTGCGGGTCGTTCACCTCCACTGCAAACTTCTTCTCACGAAAGTACAGATTCTCCAGCTGCTTCCACTGGTACAACTGTAGAGGAGAGGGACAGTTGTTGTTAAAGCGACTGAGCACACAAGCCTGGAACCATCCATTGTATGAAATGTGTGTACAGCGTCACTCGACAAACACCGACACCAAAGACACACCAGATGACAGAGATTCACGTGAAGGGCTCTGTGCAGAATGGGAGGTAATTCTAGAGAAATGGGTGTTTCTGAATGCGGGTTTCCAGCCAACTTGCCACGTTTATACTATCACAAATACCACAGCTGATAGGGGAAAACAAGGCACTCGGTGGAGCAGTTTACTCAAGTGTGAGCCCGGACAATTATTCTACTGCTGCTGGAAAAAAATGGTGGCAGGCAGGTAGCCCCTCTGTGTGAGCTATGAGCACAGTGGCTGCTGCACTCTGTCAGATTTAAACATCTGCCTACTACCAAGCCAACCCATAGATCACTGAGGCTGCCTCCATTCATTCCTAGCCAGGGTCACTTTCCCATTTACAAAACACGTTTCCACCAGTCACAATTAACCTACATTAATGACACAGGGACACGACTCATGCATCTATAAACACATGTGGTCTGTAAGAGAAAAAGTTTAAAAAGGATTTCCAAATTACATGACAAAGCCACACAGCTTACCTACCGTATAAGCTCCTTTTTCTGTCCCTTTCTTATCAAATCCCGGCTGAATTATAGTGTTCCCTTTGGCTCGGAGTTTCCCACAGGGCTAGAGCTTCCTTGAACAATACTCTCTCTTGTCTGTTCTCAGGACTCAGGAGCTGGATAGGTGTTGCAAGAGTTTCAGCTGAGCAGAGAGTCACGCCCCCCCTCCTCTGACATCACATCCCTCACTCCCTCCATGTCCCGGTATCTCTACCTCTCCTCCCACACCTACGCTTTCCTCTGAGACTTGATAAACAGGTTGGTAGTTGGTATGAGGTATGTTTAAAATACAAGCCGATGTCCCTGAAGCGTCGGCCATTGGCTAATGAATTACCCCGATGTGTGTCTTGTACTGTAAACATGACACAAAGCAGCTCTGTGTCCTGCGCCCTCAGGCAAACATGTGAGGAATCTGTTACTACGCCTTATCATTAAAGCGAGGTGCTATTTGGCTTTTTTTCAGCCTGAATCTCAGCCAAGCGGGGAAGCTATCAGTAGAAATGTAAGTATGTTTACTACATCTGTATTTGGCGAGTGAGGCTGCTCTAAAATATGTGATGTGCAATTTGTGAATGGGGTCATTTGCAACAGCACCTGATACTGAACATACCGTTTTTAAAGTGGTTGGTTTTTGAAAACAAATAAATGTTCTTAAAATGGTATAACAATGAATTTCTTTAGTCTTGTGGAGACCGTTTCTATTTTGCAGTGGTCCACTTACAATAATTTTCTGAGGCAAATAGCAGAAGAATGAATTCACACCCTTAAATACTTAATAGGGTTGCCAAAATGAATTTAAAACATAATTTGAGGAAGAATATATACTACATAAACAAGACAAAATTGGACAATTCTTAAGATTTTTAAAAACTGTTTAAACTACAGGAGAACGTATATATCATTTTTGTGTTATAGCGTACTAAGTATTTTCTAGTATCAAAAGAGAGTATCGGATATGAAGTGTCATGACAGAAGTGATACATACCACAGCTCCTAATAGCGCCGCTGACTTTGTGAACACTCCACACTTTGACTCACTGTGATAGTTTCATTTCTGTGTGTCTCATTCAAACTTCCTCTTCCTTCCTAGATGGAAGGAAGAGGAAGTGATCCAAGGAACTTCTATAGAGTTAACAGATTTATGAGAAAACAACATTCCAATCATGGCTTTTAATCAGTTCTCTACAATCAGCATGAACAGGGAGTTCAATTTCTGGTCACGTCTTGTTAGAGCCAAGAAAGGGCAACAGATATGTGAATTATACAAAATAATATTTTTCTGTAATTTGTTAGATGCAAGAGCACTGATAACATAAATATATATTTTTAACCCCTACTTTTTAAATTATAGGTCTGTAGCTTGATGGTAAAAGTGCCTAATGCCAAGTGATAGAGATGCAAGTGATCCATTTTAGGGAGAGTTTTAATATTATTATTTTCAGTCAGTAGTCAGTCATCAATAGTCAGGTCATGTAGGACCACTGTTACTTCTTCTTTGCAAATAGCTCTGAAGGTTAAGGTAAATATTGTGGATGGACAAATATTCAGTTCATTATAGGACCACTGCGCCGCATATCTTGTGAAGTAAGTAATCATTATTCATATGGTGCGTTTCACAGACCAGAGTCACAAAGAGCTTTACAATTGGCATTTGTCTCTCATTCCACACAGGGATGAGAGTGGGGTCGCCCTACAGGAGGTGCATGCCAGACTTAGTACATGTTTTTTGTGTTAGGGGAAAACGGAGCACCCGGAGGAAACTGGAGACAGAAACACAGAAAGGCCAGGAGGTGGAATCAAACCCAGGACCTCCTTGCTGTGGGCGTGGCTGAGTGGGTAACACTCTCGCTTCTCAGCAAAAAGTTACTGGGTTCGAATCCCAGTCGGAACAGGGCCTCTCTGAGTGGAGTTTGCATGTTCTAATTTGGTCGCATGTGTTCTGCTCTTATCCTGAGCTGATCTTGTTTCTTTTTAAGATCTTCCAAACCCTTGCAAAGTAGCATGTTTGTTTAATGAGGACAATGGGCCAAATAATATGTGAGTGAAACTATTGTCAATTAGAGCAGAGACTGAGGAGCAGGCTTTAGGCAGCCGCTTTTCCCGATGGCTTTGAGGTCTTTGAGGTCTTCTACAGTATTCGGGTTTTTGTTGTGAAAGAAGTACTTGCACTGTTTGTTTGAGTTTTAGAATGTTGTTATTATTCTAGAACTCATACAAAGAACCAGTACAGACCCAGCTCTCCTATCGGCTATCACCCTATGAAGTAGATAGTGACCTATAATAGATCAATAATAGTGACTCAAGAAGAGATCTACCATATGGTTGAGGAAACCATTAAAGGGTTAATATCATGTACTTAAACCCATTGGAGACATAAACCTTTCTAAACATAATCTCCAAAACAGGTTGTGGACTGGCAGTAGATTCAAATTCATCACTGATCGAACTGATCAATTAAAATTAGATTAACAGAACTGCTCTGAGGCAAAGACAGAGACCCCAGGTGCAGGCTACATTCCGTGCACACAGCACATTCAAAAGGGCCTCAGCCCAGTAGACTATGTTGCTGTCAGAGTGGGGGTAGAGCTGTAAACAAAATAGTCTTTCAAGCATATGTGTGTCTGCCATTGCTTAAACATGCCAAAGCTGACAGTTTGTCATCCATAATAAACACAAGACTTATTTCAAATGGCTGGCTCATCATTTTTGTTGCTTTGCACAGTGTCTGGTTACATATTGTAAAGGCACATAAACTGTAACAAAAGAGTACAATAATTCATGATGTTATTATCTAATTCAGAGCAGGAGGTCAAAGCTTGTCATATTTGAAAGTGCATCGAGCTCTGCTAATCAACATACTTTAAAATACAAAACTATGGGTCCAACTGTTTAAGCTGAGACCACAACAAACCAACCCCCTTCATGCCATTATGTAGGCTACTGTTAGTTATTGACCAGTTTTTGATCTATAGTCTTTTCTGCAGAAACACAAAGGCTCACATTAGTATAAAGAGTCTGGCCTGCTGAGAGGGGGTGGCCTGAGGGAACACAGAATGCAACCCTTTAAAGTAGAACGTTTTCTGTCTGTACCATGTGACTGTCTGACCTCCTTATGTAGGGATGAAACACACTTTTCACTGATGAGCCCTTTTTGCACCCCATTGCTTCTCTTGTCCCACACCACCCACCCTGCTGGCCCCTTGCCAAGCCCGTCCCAGAGGCCACAGCTCCCACAGAGTTCCATAATGACAGCTTCTACTGAGGAGCAGCACTCCCTGCTCTGTCAACACGGTTCTGCCACAAGAGCAGTGCTTAGCAAAGGGTTAAACTTTGCACACATCTAATACCACACTACTGAGAGATGCTTTAGAAATAAAAACCAAAATATCACTAAAAATAATCACACAAGAAAATCATCCTTATTTACTATTTCTAAACCGGTCATTATAATTTCTTTATTCAATTAAACGTATTCTTCCCTAAATAACAACAGTAGTTATTTCAGAGGACTTAACAAAACCGTTGAATTTGCCAACACAGATCAGAGAATCAAACAGTTCAAACACAAGAAATTATAAATTTTGTGAGTCTGAATGTAAACCTTGAAGGGCTGAGGAGTTCCTACCTTTCTTGGCTTAAGCTTGTCCTGTAAGTCGTATTGGCCGACGCCTTTGTAGCTGACTCCAAGCCACCATGGGATCCCCTGCTTATCCTGCGGAGAACAGCATGGCTCATTAGAAGGCACTTTACTGATGTGATTTTTAAAAGGAGGGTTTAACCAACACAATTACCCCATCAGCCCCAGAGCAACAGCAACACATGAGGAGATCAAGAAGAGAAGAGCTCTTTAAAAGTCTGCCAGCCCCTAACAACGCTGTTTGATCTCCTCAGACACCTTCATTTAATTTATGTGTCAGAAGTCTATAGATAAGCAAGTGAAATTAGTTGCAGCATGCTAAACCTAAAAGAAGCCCTGTTCTTTCAGGTATTTCTCTTCAGTCAGACCAGTCAATTTACGAACGTATCCCCTTCTAAACTGTGCACCGGAAGACATGTGTTTGTAATTCGAATTTGAAAATAGAGTTTATCTAATGCCTGTTTGTATTCTAATTGAATGAGAAAATTGTCAATAAACTGTAAGAAATAAACAATAGTTAATATAATGGCAATGATGGTACCTTTACTGGGTAGTAATGGACTCCATATGTGGGCAAAGACTCCACCAGGGCCAGATACCTGCAGGAAGAGATCAACACGTTAACCCACATTCATCTTTGTCACACTGACGCGAGTACAAGAGATAGAGTGGGCTTTAAACTGTAACTACAGAGATACACTCCCTCTCACGACCAGCCATCGATTGAATTCAGTCATGACAGAGGCCATTGATCAGCTCAAGGACACAAATCATGCGACAGTAAAGGACTCAGGGTCACAGTTAGAGCACAGAGGAAAAACAGACTAGATGGACTGTTATTGACAATGCATGTTTGACTGTATAACGTCGGCCTTCAAAATGTTCAAAATATGCTTTCAAAAGTCTTGAAAGTAACAAACTCACTTGACAATCGCTTGTCCTCGGGATAGTCCCTTGAACTTCTTGTAGTGTTCAATGACCCGGTCCTCACTGCAAACACAAAGATAAAACATTCAAGTTCTCCCCAGTGTTACGCACTGAGGCTGCTTTGTGAGTTCATGCAGAAAATGCAAGTTGTTTGATTGGTCTGTTCTGTACTAGCTGCTTTTATGCACCTCCCTCAGTAATCATTAGTGCTAATGGAGGAGTGAGAGGGCACTGGACTATCAGAGACAACAGAGATGTTGTTTAATTTGGATTTTACAGTGGTTTTGCATTACAATGACAATCATGCAAGAAGATACTAACACAACAGGGCTGAAAACACACAAACCCAAGTAATAGAGTTAATGTATAAAATGCCAGTCTTTCTCAATTACATGGTATGGTACTAATGTTGGTGCGTGTACGCGCGGACCGTGACTGAAGTCAGTCAAATCACATCTGCATCCTCAGAACAGAAATAGACAACAGTAAACGAGGTGTGAGCATCCCTGATACATTATATGAGCACTAAGCAGATATAAGTGACATTTATAATATAAGCCACACTACACACACAAGAACATACTGTACATTTCATGGCAGATGTACAGTATGAGCACTTTGTACCATCTCCAATACTTCTAAAATGATCACATTTCTTTCCTGCCAATGAAATTTGAAAAGTCATTACTAATGACTCTTTGCATCATGAACCAAATGTGATATTCTGAATGGTAAACACCCACATAAATCATTTGAAGTGACATCTGCGAAACAAAGCAGCTCATAGGTTGTGATGAGGTTAAAGGATGTACTTCTCTCATTTATGTTTTACAATTTTATACAACTCTCATCATTTCTTCAGAAAAAAAGACAATTTTGATATTGTCTTACAAAAATCACGACAGTAATAATTGACCCATCAAGATCAGCCGTAGTGAATTCCACGAGTGGTAGTTCGAGAGTGCGTGTGATCTGATGAGTCGCTCCTGATTGGCTGTGAGACACACACTCTGACTTCCAAATATAGAGGCTGGTTGAAAATATTTTAAAGCTCCAATAATCTTACTAAATAGAAAGCTCACATTGTGAACTCCTAGCTTTGGTTTATGGTTCCATAGCAGGCATAGATGTTGTGTCACGTCCCCCATATTGCCTCGTATGAATCTGGTGAATGATGCCAGAGAGTGGACTGAATGAAAGATAAAACGTAACATGTCTGAGTCTCTAAGAACACTGTATATAAAAGTGATTCATTATTGTAAAAAAACATGAGCGCCATCACTAGAAAGTTTGGGACGACTGCTATAGAACTTCTATATGCATTGAGATAAAACCAAAAAAGGAAAACTTACCAATATGTGAGAGATGGATGCTCCCTCAGGACTCGTGTGGGTAGGACCGGCAGCTGTTTTAGGTTAGACCTGGAGGTTTCGCAGCTGAAATAAACAAAATAAATAATTCATCAAGTTGATGAAAGTTGTTTTTCAATTTGAAAAAACAGTTTTGAGTGTGCTCACACAACACAAGCACTCCAAACACAGCACATATTCCCACACCTGCATGTGCTACCACAATGTGTTTCAGATTGTATCTCAAAGCTCTGTGTAATAAATCTTTTGTAGAAGAAAAGTGTCTGTGTCTGGGTGTTGTTTTCAACTTTCTTATCTCTAAAAACCCATGTGTCTGCCAACTAATTTCATTTATGTCATGCCAAGCTTAATTTTAAAAACCCATGCAAAGCCTTAAAGACTTTACATCAGAACAGACTGTTTGGCACAAAAATAGCTCCAGAATTTCCCGTTGACATAACCCTTGTCTTTGGATTAGAGCAGGCCCGTCAAGAGATTTGACACGGCCCGCGCTCATTTATGTAAAATGATAATAATATTATTATTTTTAAATCTGCGCCGCGATGCGAGGCTCTGCGACGCCGCAGCGCCGCGCTCAGCAGTGAGTCCAGTGCGTCTGTAGTGGCTCCACCAGAGCGGTGCTGAAGGAATAACATCTTAAACTACAAGACTCGGAGAAAAATACGACACTTTGAGCGGAGAATTGAGAAGACAGAAGATAAACATTTTTGGCCCTGAAGACACAGCAGTCTGTTTGTGCCCACAGCAAGAGGTTAGTTCTGCTGCTGTGAAGGGAAGCTACCTGTGCTAAAAACATTAGCATTAGCCTCGCAGCCGCACAGTGAGGGAGAGTTTGTTAAAACTCTCATACAGACTGCAGACATGGTCTGAGAAACGACACGCTGTCGCCATCATGTTGCCATTGATAAGAGACTGATGTTACTGATGCCACATATTCATTTGTGGTGTTACTGAAACTATCAGACGAGTTTTGAGCGCTGGTGCTGCTGGTTCTGTTGCTGGTTCTGCTGTTGTTGCTGGTGTGTTGAACAGTATGGACTGGTCCTGCGCCTGGTACCGACGGTAAAAGCAGGTGTAGTGACATAGCTGCAAATGTAGGTGATGATTTTTGGACATTTGACTGTATTTTACACAGAGACACTGCTGCAGTCGTTAAGAATAGATCACGTTATGGAAGTTGTTTTGTTCATTTCAGCTGAAACATGGTCAGCTTGGTGCTTTCTCTGTGATAATAACATAACCCTGGACCTTACCACACTGAAGAAGGTTAATGTGATAATAACATAACCATGGACCTTACCACACTGAAGAAGGTTAATGTGATAATAACATAACCATGGACCTTACCACACTGAAGAAGGTTAATGTGATAATAACATAACCATGGACCTTACCACACTGAAGATGGTTAATGTGATAATAACATAACCATGGACCTTACCACACTGAAGATGGTTAATGTGATAATAACATAACCATGGACCTTACCACACTGAAGATGGTTAAGCTGAGGTGCTGTGTTAAAGTGCTTTTATCTATCTACCTACTTTACCTTTGTGAGCAAGTTTTCTCTGTAATGAGCCTTAAAACAAAGCTAACGTACAAATATCAATATATATTGTGAAATACCATTTTCAATGTAATATTGTACACACAATACATTACATTATTTGCACTATAAAAAACTCACTGTTACATTTAAGTTTGTAACAGAAAACTGAGCGAGTATTAAAGGAACAATGTTTTAAAGGAAGTTTTAAATAAATGTGTTTATGTGCACAAAAAGTTGGACTTTGTACCGTTTTTGGGTATTTTTGTAGAGCATCTTCTTGTCTGGCCCATTTGAGATCCAATTAGGTTGAATGTGGCCCCCGGGCCAAAATGAGTTTGACACCCCTGGATTAGAGCCTCTTCATAGATCAGCCCCATAACTAGCATCAATTTCAAACACAACCTCAGAGGCAAGCCTCACTTATGGAATAAAACAAAAACTCAATATGACGTCTGTGTCACAGTCAAGGATGTTGTTGGTGTACAGTAGGAAATCACATTGCTGGATAAAATATCCTCTGATGTGGAAAGCCTGTTCAGTATGCTCAGAGATAGAAAAAACTATTCACAAGGACTTGGCAGTGCGTCTGTGCTGAAAGGTATTGACCCAGTCACAGCGAATGCTGTTTGTGTTACCAAACAGTCAATGGCCTCTCTGAGAAGACAACATTCACAACATTGCCCCATATGCACCAAACATCGACCAACATGTACAGTAAAACTGGGGTCTCCTCCCGACAGGACATGCCCAGAACACCTCCCCGGGGACTTGTCTAAGAGGCATCCGAAACAGATGCCAAAGCCTCCTCAACTATCGACGTGGAGAAGCAGTGGCTCTACTCCGAGCTCGTGTGATTGAGCTCCTTGCTCTATCTCTAAGGAAGCACCAGCGACTCTGCAGGAATCTTATTTCGACCCCTTGTAAGTTGTATTCACAATCTCATCCTTTTCGTTTACCCGCAGCTCAGGACCATATGGCCACAACTCAGGTTTATCTCAAAAAGTGTATCATAATGGAGAGTAAACAAATATGAACATTAACTGCATACTACTGCATTCATTCTGTGGTATTCGATATGTATGGAGTTGCAAGGACAGATTATACTAGTCATAATAGTCTTTCCCACCAGTTCCACCGTGACCTCAAATGAAAAGGCTGTAAAAGAACAGGCCATGAAACAGCGGAGCAGACCCATTATGATCCAGTTATGCGAAGCAGCTTACTAAACAAAAATGGCTCTCCAAGGGCACCTGAATCAGTCTTACTTGTAGTGGCCTGGGTTCTGCTACCATGGCAGTTCACTGTGTTTGATGGCACATAGGTTTTATGGGAAGCCCGGGGCCTGGCGTAGTCGAGGTGATCTACTCTGTCGCCACTGCTTTGTCAGCAATCTGGAATTCATTACTATGTGTGTTATCTCCCCACAGCATGCAGCACCGAGTGTCTCTGGCCCCGCCCCCCTCAAAGTGGAAGATACTCATGTGTCAGCTTTTCCCTGGACTGACATGTGGTGGCACAATGACAGAGCTTGTTGCTGTGAATGGACCACTAACTATCCTGTGCACCTGCAAATAGAAGCACAGCGCTAAAAGTGTATAACGTGATATTACTTTGGGTGCAATTAGGTCTTGTGTGATAATCTGGTACAATTATAGTCATCAGTACAGTACAATTTTAAACGTTCTGGACTGATGATTATGGCTGTAAGTGGCAGTGCAGTGAAAAGAAAACATTATGCCAATTTTACCAAACCACAGAAACAGGATGCTATTCCGCTCTACATCCTACCCATTTCTATCTATTGTAGTATTCTAATAATGGAGCTTGCAGGGGAATAGTTTCCCCTTGATAGCAGCTCAAGGCTACCTGCTCTTATCTTGCATGAAAGGCACATACGTTCTTCACTAAAATTTACAGGACACTACTAAGTCAGATAAAAAGATTCAACTTGAACACAGTGGCTGACCAGAACCCACAAAGGTCACAAAGACTTCTAAACTGTCATCTATATCAATCAATCAATCAACGTTTATTTGTAGAGCGTCTTTCCTACACAAGGCAACGCAAAGCGCCTCACAACCCATATAACATCATGCATAAATCATCAAACATTAGAATTTAAGTAAACATATAATTAATTATCAATATATTGGTCAAAAATATACCTACGATGATATTTTCTGATATTTATGACATCAATTAAGATAAATAGATAAAATGTCACGTGTAACATTAAAGTAAACAAGCAAAAATGCCTTTTAACCTGCAAATTTTGGTAAATATCTTACTTAATCTGTCATACATCCAATAAAATCTATATGAACATTCTACAGAATATTAAGTATAGATACTTAAAATAAATTGAATTAAAATATAAAATAAAATTGTTTAGCAAAAGCATATTGATAATCGATTGCGTGGGAAAGTATCACGATACATCACCATTGCGATATATTGTCATACTCCTAGAGCTGATAGATCAATAAACTCCGCTGTTAAAGATCCTGCCTCTCATTTAAATTCCCAGACAGTAAATCAAAAATGAGTTGTGCTTCTGTGTTTTTGTGTACCCCCACTGGTGCTCTGTCCATAATTGAAGCTCCTCCTTCACCTAAATTCAAGGTGAATAGAGCTGAGCCACACAGGGACTGCATTTCCCTGAATTATGGGTATGAAATGGTAAAACACATTAGAAATATGTTTACACAATTTTATTATTAACCATAGTCAACCGTGACAGGTGTACTAATATTTCCAAATCCACTTAAAAGCAGCTGCTTTAAAAAAGCTTGTCGTTCCAATTTTTTACACAAACACAATTACTGAAAATAGGCTTATTTGATTTTAGACAACTTCTAATTTCCATTTGTGGTTAATTTCCCACTACATTAGGGCATAGCGAGTGACAGTCCTCTGCAGGGATATGCAGAGGGCATGTTTTAAGATGAGAGAAATGAGCAGTTACCCTGATTTCTGCTATGTAAAATATCCCACATCCGTTACAAAAGACTCAAATGATTCTTTGTGGCTTAAATCAATGCTATTCCCTTCATTATTTTCTATCACAGACATTTTCATTGGTCTTTCTTAAAATTGTACACTGCAGTATAATTGCATGCAAAATTATTTTTGATAAAAGCAGCTCAAAGCACAACATATGGCAGTCATTACCGAATGGTTAGCATGTACAATGACAACATTCAGTAAATTCTTTAAACAAACCCTTCCTTGGGAGTGTAGGACACCACAGAGTATTAAGTCTGTACAAAGCGGGAGCCAACACTAGAAAGACTTGTTCTGACGCCTAGTTGTCTGCTATTGAACTTTCACGTTCATCTGTGCCCCAAACACTCCTCCACATCTAATCTCTCGGCTCCGGGGCCTTGGGGATCATACAGGGTGAAGTGGATACATTTATATTACATTTATGAGGAGGATTTACTGAGCTATTTTACACATAAAAAGGGGAGGGGCTTTAACTAGAATGAAGAATTGTATTCAATTAAATAATAGGCTCAGGGTTAGTTGTAAAGTGGTGGTGATGAAAGTCTGGCATTATGTCTCCTTTATGCACTCCTTGAGTATAATATATACTCGTCCAAGTATGTAAACAAACCAAAAGTAGTCAATCACTAAGCAAAGCTATAAGAACATACTCACTTAATTTATAAAAACACAATTCCTTGGAACATGTTCTAATCGTCCCTCAGTGACTCGCTGAAAAATAAGTGGCTGCTTGTTTTATACTCTGAAAGTTGGGACAAAGTTCAGCCTATCTGCACTCCCACATAAGCTCAGAGTCCAGTCTGCGTTCTGTACTTGAAGCTGAAGTGGGGCTAAATCAAAGCAGTGCACTGAAGCATAAAGCTGTACTAACGCTGTAATAAATAACAATCAGCGTTTATCAGGCCACTCATGCTTGTAAATACAGGGCTGGCAAATGAACGCCACAGAGAAGGGGGGAAAATCTTTGCTTACTTTGCAGAACAAAAGCATTGGTTTGACAAGGGGTTAAACTGCATTTTCAGCATTGTGTATGTGGCCAGTCACATTCAAAGCGTGCAGATCTTTGTGTGAGCATAATAGACAGTGCAGTTTACTGGCAGCACAGCAGGACAGCACAGGTTCTGCAGCTCTAGACTCGCTCCATCACTCTCTCACTCCTCCACAGGGAACTGTGTTTACTGAACGCAGCCAATACCCTTCAGTTATACTCCAAGGGAAGCAACTCCATACAGTGCTTGGCAATAACAATAGTCATGGTATCATAGCCAACTGGTCTATGATATGGTAGTTTTATATTTTGGCAACTAACAATTTCATGCATAACCCTAAGTTTCCCCCATGCATTCGTGAAATATCACTATAAGAAGACTGTTTGACCCGCTTTTGCAGGCTGGCTCAATGTTTTATCCAATTAACAAATAACACATAACGGTGCATTTTTGTGATAAAATAAATTCTAAACAAAAAAGTACTAAAATCCTACTTGCGCAGTAGAAACTTATGAAATAGAAAAAGCCACAGTGGCCTGTTAGCTAAACCCCAATACACACACCTTATCAGGAGGTCAAGCTGTTAAAATGTCCTCTGAAGACAACAGTACCTCAGTACAGTAATTGAGTAAGGCGTTTTTATACTGGAAAAACTGTCCACCAGAAAAAGCACAATAATCGTGTTGCAGTATTTGATTTAATTAGTAAAACAATGTCAGATAAGATACGCCCTTCGGTGTTTTCTCAGTATAACCAAAGCTGGAGTGCAGTGTTGGTTCAATGCCACATGAATAACACACGGTGGATGATTAACCTGAAGATCAGAGCTGTAGTTGTAGCTTTATGAGTATCAGAGCTCAGCCTGAACTGTTTTACAATCTAGAGAAAGTTACATTTTGGCACAAAAGCGACAACAATATGAACTTGTATGTGGAAACGTGTATTTTTGTGTGTGTATTGTTTAATGCTAATGCCATAATTCAGAGCACATATTGACAAATCTGGAGACCTCATGACAGCCAAAAAACAGGTTTCAAAACACAAAACGAACGAACATTTTAGTAATGTAAGCTATACACTAAAACATTTCATACATAAGACCTTACCTTTCATAGTCTCCCTTTGCTTCCTGCAACACGCAAAGAAAGACAACTCCGTTAGCGCGATCATCAAACAGTCATCTAGCTACTAGCAAAACTATTCCAACTAGAGTGGGCGTAAAACGCACACAAACACCAAAAAGGCTGCAATCATCTATTGTAAGATCTAAATTATTTTACTTTGAGCGAAGAAATCGAGTAAGTTTCTGTAACAAAAGCTACAACCACAAAGAGCAAATCCCTGAGGACAACTGTTTTCAAACTGAGCGTCTTCATTCTCGTGTTTCGGCTGTGTGAAAGAACTGACTGCACAGCCAATCCCGCGGATGTCTTACCTGCAGAGCAAGTGCCGCTAATTTGAAGACATGTCCACTCTCCACTTCGATGGTCTCCTGCAGAGCACAGGGGCAAACAGGAAAAGCTTTTAAAAGACGCACATTCAAAGAGCAGGCTGTCCCACACACTTGACTCGAGCAAATCTGCCCCGTCCCGTACCGCGGTCCCACAGTTACCGACTGAACCACCATGTTTATCCCTGGAGTGCCGCACAATATACATGAAAGTATCGCAAAATACAAATTTTACAGTCAAAGTGAAACACTATGGATACAAGAATATGTTACACATATGTTAAAAAGCAAAACTAGCTAAAATTGCACTTTGTTGAAAGCCGTACCCCCGCAGCGAAAAGTGGTACAGTCCGTAAGCAGGTTCAACAGTCTCCCGTCTCCCAGGGCGACCAGTCGCGCGAAAACTGCACTGCAACGTCTGCTACGTTCAGGTACGCCCAAGGAAGTGGGAAAACGGGGTACTTTACAACCTCCTTCCTGCACCGACGGCTGTTTGTCATCTTTTATTTCCACTCAACGAAGAGTAGCTCAAAGTAGCTACTTATTGGATTTACCGTTAAAAGGAAGGTACATATCAGCCTAACAAAAAGAAAGTTTAGCCCATCTACAAATTCTGATAGTCTCTCCTCTTTTCCCCTTTAACTCTTCCCCTTTAACATGAATTTCAATTTTTTTCACATTGATTTAACTAATTATAGTATATCCATTAAGGATATGTATGTATCAGGTAAAACAAATAAAAATAATTATTACTTTGGCAGCTTGAGAGAAAAACTAGAAAAAATTTAGATTTTTTTGTCAAATGCAGCACTCCATGAAGTGAGATTTCAGTTATGGTTCAAGTTGAGAACATGATTCAGAGTGGTGGAGTGTGAATTGTACTGGGTAGCATGGAGGAGAAGGTAGCATACATTCTATCTTTGAACATTGAGTAATGTCCTGCAGTAAACATATTTTGTTACAATATGTAACAAATATGTAAAGTTTGTGTCTTTTATGCAGGCTACTTATAATGTGTATTATCAGTGAATAGTTTTCTTGTCAATGACTTGGTGACAATTAAAGAGTATTCTATTCAATACCATTTTTTTCTATCCTATTCTATTCTATGACACAAACAGTCTTACTTACGTTATAGACTAAAGATTTAGCATTTAAGAAGAATAGTTCCACTGTGATGTTATCTTTCAGGTAGGTTATCCGTTCAATGAAAAATCTGCAAAGAAAATATTAAAAGTTAAGCAATATTTCCACATACACATACTATATTTTACAAACACAGCAGTCAGTTAGTGCCATCTCCTGGCAAACTGTATTATTGACACACAACCCCATGCAGCTCACACCTTTTAAATAGACTGACCTTACAAGGAACTTTAGTTCCAGATTACCAGAGGTTTTGGCGAAAGCATGGTCTAGGACTTTACGATCCAGCTGGAGCCAGTTCCTTTGGCCCCTGAACAGAGAGTATAATAATGAATTTTGTATATTGTGTTAAATAAATGAAAAGTGTGTGTACTTACGTGTCATCTATGAAGCATAGCCCAAAGTACTCTTTTTCTTTTAAGTTGAAATGGGATGCAACCAAATCTAACAACTCACGCGATAACAATTTGGGCTAAAAGGACAATTAAGTTACATTGATTTATTACAAAATACAATAGAACTAAACATTTTTGACAGAAAGTCAAAAAATGATGACTACAAGCTTTACCTGGACCAGAAGATCAAGCTTCCTGTCATCGAGGAGATCAATCTTGCACTGACGGCCTTCTGTCATCTGCAAACGATACAAACAAATCAGATTAATGGAATGAGTTTTAAACTGCTAATATCAGGAATATGGATTTATTATTATAAACATTAACATTATTATTATTGATATAACATGGTCCATATGTTTATTTATGTTTTGCAAGAAAACAGGAAAATCAGTTATACACAGTTGAAATCTTTCTTTTCTTTCAATTCCTCTTCAGTATTCAGGTGAAGTGACTGGCATCTCTTAATGCCACAACTTCAGCACTGAAGATATATCAGTTTTAGATCTGTTTATAATGGTCTTAGACATTCGGTGTAAAATATATTTTGGGTCAGGGTCAAGTTTTTCAATATACTTTCACACTGTTGAAAGTACCATGGTCTCCATGGAACAAATATTTTGAATCTCTTACATCTTAAAAAATTATGGACCACTATAATGTTTAATATGCATTAGTAGCCCTTATTCTCTACACATAAAATCTAATCCATTGATTTGTGCATCACACAAAGCCATAACAGCAGTCGACCTGTGGGGTGTCACAGAATAGTTAATTCATCAAAGCAGACTAGAAAACAATTGGAACACAAACAAAAACAATATAGCATTGAATGAAAAAATAGGTCCATTGGATAACAGTTTAACCAATGTCCGTAAAAAATAAATAAATCATAAATAAATGTCCGGATCATCCCCTGCTGATACCCTCTTATACCGTATCACATAAAAGCTTAAAATCATTTCATGGACCATGAAAATGGTCATGACCACATCTCTGTTTTAGACAATAGTAAGTTTAACATGTGGTTTCCAACTGCTTGGCCTCCACTATGGAAAGTGAGGGTCATAGTCCATTCTGAAAACGCCCTACGGCACCATATTAAACTCTAGTCTGCCACCCTTATTGTGTTTTCAGCCACAACAAAGCACTGACTGCACTTTTGGGCCACGCAATATACTTTACATATTTTTGGAAAGTATATTGCGTATACAGCTGCAATGGTGTAACTCTTAGCTGTAATTGAGCGGTAAATCTTAACAATATGACAATGTCAAAAGACAGTCAAAACAATAACTTAACTGAACTGTACAAAATATGACATAAACAGAGAGGAATAGGTGAATTTCATGTAAAATAGGTACATAGTCTTGTGTATTGTCCTTGTTGAAGCCAGTCAGCTGAGTGGGGTCACAAAAGGTGGGGTCGCCCTCTTTAGCTCTGTCATTAAGCACTTTAATGTCCATACACTTCACATGACTCCCATTTGCTGACCTGTTCTCCGCTTGGGCCTTTGAACACACACACGTACCTTTGTTATTAGCACTGTTACAACAACAGACACAAGAAGGTGTTGTGTCGTCTCATAAAGTCGAGCTCAGGCCGACAACATCTATATTTTCAAGAAATGTACACATTACTTTCCAAATGCTTTCCAAATACCAAAATAAGACTAACCCAAGGTAACCCTTAGTAACAATAAAACAATTTTATTTTATAATCATAATTAAAAAAAAACAGCACAGCATAATTTTTGGGTCACAGACATGCTGATAGAGCTCAGGTGTGCCCACAACAATGCATTTCAAAAGCGTTTTTACTGGATCTAGACATGGCCCAGACTGTGAGATCAAATAGACGGTCATGCTGCTTCTTAACCAACGCCATATGTTGTTAGTGAGTGCCTTGTAAAACCTGCAGTCTCACACACAAACACAAGCATGCAATAATGAGCCAAAGAAGGGAAAGTGTGTGCTGCTGACTTGCAAAAACCCCCCCCCAAAAATAACATTCAGTCCACCTGGCACGAGGCGGTTTCTATTGGTAAGCAGAAAAGTGGACGTCATACCTGATAGCATTTTCTGACCCTGAAAAAAGTCTCCACAAGTCGCTGGCAAGGGATGAGGCCATGACTGTACCACCTCCTCAAAGTCTGGTGGGCCAAATTCCAAATAATCTGGCTACTGGACACCACCAAATCCTCAACTCCACGTATTAAACGGACAGCCATCTCGGAGGAGTGAGTGATGGAGCCTCAGCAAGGGTTCTCAGATGATGTCAGTGAGGGGCGAGCTTGTGCCAATGTCCTGCCCCATACGCGCAGGGCGGCAGTGATAGGCGCTGTCTGCTCCACATATGAGGCCACAATAGAAACTAGGGACTAGAGATTCACTCAAGCTCTGATCCGGTTGCAATTTATTTAGCTCAAAAAGAAAACTGAGAGACTAATCTTATAACCAAAACATTAACATTGTTGTAGTGGACAAAATGTAACTTGTCTCAGTGAAATAACTTTACGTTGTATTTTGCCAGAATTGTTCTGCCTGTGACAGCTCCAAAGCAGTGATTACTGATGCAATCCAACTGCGCAAACTTATTTTGGTGTACCTGGTCTCCAAATGTATGGTGCTATTTTGTTGTTTCTCTGCTTGAAAATCGTAAACTTACATGTTTTTAACGGTCATTGTATTTTTTATTTTAAAATAACGACAATTATAGACACCATGAGATCTATCAATTCTTTTCTAAACCAAACAACAATTCAAAAGCACAAGAAATAATTTGATCATTATGAAAAAAATATAAACCAATACATATATAATGACTTATGACTTAATGACTTATGACTTAATTCTTTCTGAGTGGAGTTTGCATGTTCTCCCCGTGTCTGCGTAGGTTTCCTCCGGGTACTCCGGTTTCCCCTACCACTAAAAATATGTCCAATAGTTCTAGCATGCGCCTCCTGTACTGGCGACCGCGCTCCCATCTCTGTGTGGAGTGAGAGACAAATGCCCAAAAATTAACAATTGTAAACCGCTTTGAGACTCAGATCTGCAGTGAAAAGGCGGTATATAAATAAATACTTACTTACTTACTTACTTACTTACTTACTTACTTACTAATGAACACCCAGGACAAAGTATTATCTGGCTCAATATTGAGTGATTCTGCAGTATATTTGTTTGAAACTTTTAAGATAAAGAGAATTTAAAAGAATTATTTCCGCACACGTCTTCTTGTATCGGGAATGCAACATTTCATTCCCAATACATTTTATTTGCGAGAATAGTTCTTTTACCAAACCATCCTCTCTCCAAAGAGAGATGGTTTACTGGAATTATCTTAATTTATTGTTATTTTCGAAAGTTCATTGTTATCAGGTTTTGAAGTATTTCTGCATCAGAATGTGTCAAAAAGTAAACTGACATGAAAAGTGATGATAAAGTGTATGTGGAATAAGAGATTGTATCACAAAGTAATGTGATAATCTGTTTATGGTACTTAATACCTAATACTTAACCCTAACCCTTTCTTTCAATTGTGTGCAAAACAACAGCACTTCTTAATGTCTTTATTCAAAATGTTTTTTTTTTGTGGACCAATAAAATGAATAAAATAAAATAGTTTTAAACCCAGACGACTTTTGGTTTATTTAAAGTTCTTTTTGTGCTGCTTTATGAGTCTGTGTGGGTGTGCATTAGGAATCGCATCGTCTGGATTTGTGGAGACAATTTCCTGGGATTGGACAGACCTCTCCACCCATTTTATTTAGCAGGAATATAATAAAAACAGTTATATTTCACCCCATTTTGAATGTGAAAGGCCGACTGACAATAAATCTTGTGTGACACTGTTACGCATTTATGACTTTAGACAAACTTAATATACAGTTGTTTATTTATATCACATGTAAGACCACAAAACATGGCCACAGGCAGGGGAGAGTCTGGAGACAATGCTCTCTTTACTTTGCACTATAGTTTGAGGTTTTATGGTGGATGGAAGACTAGGCTCATTGTACCAAACCAGTGAAGTTTATAAGCAAAATGTATTTGGTATCTCATCATTTATTTAAATTTTGAGTGACTAAAATATGTTTTTTAAACCTTGCTGTGACATAAAAAAGGAACAAGGACTACGGTACATGAATTGGCAAGCCTTTTTCTATTGAAGCGGTTAATACAATATAGATCTTGATATTTTTAATATACATTGACTGTTATGGCACAGATACAATAAATTACTGTTGTGTTGTTTCACAAATGTAGAAAATGTGTGTACTATTTTTTGATTACCTTAACAATAAGCTAACAGAAACAAAAATATGCAATGAGTTGCTCCAAAAAAAGCTATTAAATTTGATTGACTGACGTTATTTACAGTATCATCATCACACGTACGGTACCTGTGGAGACGACTGAGATTAGGTTTTCACCAAGGTTTTTTAAATAAAAATGTGTGTTCAGCTAAATGTAATATCCATTAGAATTGGCAATACTATGCCCAAAAAAACAACAATTACACACCATAACCTCCACAAAGCCATATTTGAAAATCCTATGTGGATAATGACTGGATTAGTGCCCATAGCTCATACCCAGAGGTCCAGGAGGAGAACGAGAAGAGGAGGATCTGGGGTGGGCACAACTGCCTGGAGCTATGGCCAAACATATGGCGGACACAAGCTGCTGTTTATCACAGCACATGTGCAAGACAGGCCAGTGTTAGGATACAAAATGTTCACAGGAAAAATCTTGGTTTAATATTCACAACCCTTCATTTATTCATCTCTCAACAGTGAGAATGTAACCACTCTTATTGAACTTTCTGCTCTTCAAGGCATCAGCAGTTGTGTCGTGTGCATTAGCTTACTTTACTAGTTTTGAAATTCCTTACTTGCAGATAACTTTTTAGGACAATAAGAATTATGAAACAATATGCAACCTAATACACCCATATGGTGTTCATTATTCTCCCTAAATGTTCTTTCTAAAAGCAGATGAGAGATTTACATAATGAACAACAATAATCCAAGAGGAAAACTTGTAGTTTTTCAAACAAACCTCTCCTCACCATCCTGGTACCACTATGACCTCACAGAGCTATCCCTTGTGAAGTCAAGGCAGTCATGTGCTGAACACAAGATCCAGGGCTTAAAGGGCCATTCTTCTCTAATTGTTGTCCAAGCTCCCTCCCTAAGACCATTCTATTGTACTGGAAATGCATTGTGCCTGCACTACATTCTAGGTACCAGCAGAGGGTAGGATTGAGTTCCTGGAGACAAAGAGATATGGCTGGTGACTTTTGCAAGCAGATATTTTTCTCCATGTATATCCTAATCTGACAATCACGTTCAATAACCAGCAAACACAAACTAAAACGACAAAAATATTCTAAACTCTAATTCTAATAAAAACTTCTCAGGGACCAACTTTCACTGTTTCTACAATTGATGTGAGAGACTGTAAATTCCTTCATAGTCTGTCAATGCGCCTGTTTGATGAATACTTGAAATCATTTATAGTCATACATCATTTGCAGTGTTTTAGCTATATGCTTCCACTTCATGCTGTTACACATGTCACCTACAGAAACTGTTTGCCCTTTGCTGTGTTTTAATTGGGGGTTTCTCTGTCTGAACACCAGCCACACTGGCCATCTTACATACAGGGATTTTCTGTTGGCTTCCTTGGCCAAGTGCGGTCCGGGCCTCTGAGTGTGTGGCTCACAGCAGCTGTCGCACACAAGACTCCAGCTGACGGCCTGTGCCTCATAGTGGGAGTACATCTGACATGTGAAAGGCAGACATCCGAGACGCCATCTTCACGCTGCCAGAAGCCGTGACCACATTCACCATTCTGCCCTCACTCCACCCGGAGACAGAGCAGGTGGACCCAGCTGTCACACATTACCAGCATTTGTAGTCATGCATCATACATGTATAGATTTAGTTAATCAAATATGAATGATACCGTCTCAGTCATAAAGAGATGCTACACATGCACAGGGGATGAGGCTGCTCCTGACCTCCCACACAATCCCTCTAGAAAACACATACAAGAGTTCTTAAGACATTTAGCAAAATGAACATGGGGTTTTAACTCTTTACAGTGGTTTAAGTGCTACAAAGCTTCTCAACATGTGGTAATCCAGACGGGGACAGATGTTGAAATCTCAAGAAATGTCTGAATCTGGCACAAGGAATTAAAGAACCCACTGTTTACATTACAACAGCATTCAACCAACGACAGAAAACACGTAGCACAGAGGACTGCATGTGCCTATTTGGTTCTGAAACCATAACAATCCTACAGCATGTCTGATTTTATTGCCAAAAAATACAAATGTTTACTCAAATAAAAATTATAATTTTTATTTGAAAAAAATTATAATAATTCAATTAAATGTATTCTTGTTTAGCCCTAAATGTCAACAGTAGTTCTCGGAAGACTTAACAAAACCGTTGAATCCGATAACACAGATCAGAGAACCAAACAGTTCAAACTCAAGAAATTCAACGATAAAACACCATGAATGTTGCTAAGGTCCATAGATGTTGTTGAATGTTTATAATAACTACCATCACTGAGGACCTCAGTTAATGTGATCATCAGTTCAAATGTAAAACATTGAGATCAAATTAAGGCATTTAAGTTAAAAGGCTTTCTTTTTACATAGTGGAAATGTTGGCTTTTAATGCTCCACCTTCTAAAGGTAAAACACAGTGTGATTAAACTTATACATCCATACAAAAAAATCTGTATTAACTTATATCATATTGTGATAGCATTTCCCAAATAAAGTTCAGCATATAGCAATTATGCAGCGAAATACATGAGCAGATTGTCTCCTCCATGACTTGGATTTGAAACCATCAAACAAACTTGTAACAATATGTGCAAAGCTACGAGCAGTTTAACATGGTCCAATTTAAAATTATGACCTAATAAACCGCATTTTTCATAAAACCGTGCATGTGAAACAAACCCCAGGCACCTCATTGCCAACCACCATCCCTAAGGCGCAGATTTCATGCCAAAACCATAGCTTAACTGAACTATGAATTTTTTTCATCTATTTAAAAGCACAAACACTGTTAATTACAGCCAATTAACACATGTGACAAGGCTCCATTAACCAAATGAATAGACAGGCTGTAGATGTGTATGAGGGGCTGCAGTGAATCCCATCTTTGTGTGGTGAGGGGGTACGGTTATAGAGGAAGGGCCCGCGGCTGCCACCCTCCACTGATGAGCGTGTCTGTAATCCCTTTTAGAAACAGATCGCAGCTTATTCGTACTAATGTGTTTCATCAATGCACCCAGTTCTTCCAGTCACAAAAGAAAGCCAAATGTCAGCTCAATGTGATATGCTTGTGTAATATTGGGATAGAAAGCACTCATCAAGTCCCCATTTATAAAAGTTCCTGGAAGAATATCAACTGATCATGAAAAGTGAATGTCTAATGCCACAGATGGGATTTTGACAAATAGAGCAGTAATTACGTACGGAAATATTACGAATTGTTTGTAATGACAAATGGCTAAGTAAGGTATGGTTTTTATTTTATATAGCACATCTCACTTTCAATTAACTCTTACTTTCAATTCACTGTGATATGGGTCTGCCGTACAGCCTGCTTACCAGCGGAAATTGGAGCACCCGGAGGAAACCTACACAGACAAAAGGAGAGCTTGCAAACTCCAGAAACCAGGGCATACTTAAAATATGACGTGCATGTTTTGTACTGTGGACCTGTTATATCTGTAATACTGATAAACACTATAATTTGAAGAACTGAACTAATTGGTTCTTCTGACCCACATTGTCACAAGTATCTCTGAAGCATGCGTCATTAATATCTCAAGTGATGACGTCTCTGTTCTTACGCTCATTGATACAAATCATATAAAAAGCTTTGTCTTCTTTTGTTAAATCTGGAAGAGCTCAAAAATAAACCATGTACAGGTGCAATCACTGCTACCTCTATTTCTCGGTATATTGTAGGATATATTTTACTTTTTATTGAATGCTTTTGAAAAATGGCTCTTCTTTTCAATTAAGTATCCATCAAGACATATCTATACAAACCATACATCTATCCTATTGATACCTTGTGAATTTGCATCAACCACTTGCTGATTAAAACCCACCAGAATTTCAGAAAACAGCTCATGAATCAGTCAGATTAATTTTAAGCTTCACAAACAAATGAAACTGTACAGTCGCTCATGGGAAGGTGCTAACATCCAATTAGCACAGCAATGGCCCTATTATCCCATTAGCTACAATTCATAAAGAGCCAAAATGCAGAGACAGTACAGCGAGTACTATTTATACGTTTTCTATTGTTGTCATCTTTGTAAATTGCACATTTGTACATTTGTTCAATATTGCACTCAATGTGATCAAAAACAGAATATATATTGTATCTATTTAGTGATTTTAACACAGCTACCACAGCTGTTGTTCATTGTTCAACATGAAAAGTACAATTATGATATATGGGTGTGTTCACAGTAAAGTGTCAATTATAGTATCTGGACTTTAAAAGGTTATAAAAAGATTAAAAATAGAGACATATCAAAGAGATAATCTGGATAAAGTCAAAAGAAAATATTGACAAATACATTTTTGGTGAAAATTTAAAAGGCTACAAAGGCTACTGTGAAGTCAGTTACTTAGAAAATAAAAGGTCATCAGTGACAACGCAGCGGATGAACTCCCACAAGATGAGCATGGCTAACACACCATAAGTAAATCACTTTATCTAAAAATAAATCATTTTTGAAAAATAATTAATACAAATTTATATGACCCTTGAAAAATGTGTAACGGACGATTAAGATAAAGATAAACTTTAGAAAAAACAAAAGATCGTCTGGTATCCCATTTAATTGGTTTATATGAAAGTTATCACTTTGTTCCTACTCAGTAAAAAATAAATACTGCCGCAGCTCATTCCGTCAGATGCATCACGTCTGGGACACAGATAAACATAGCCAGTAGCCATTATAGAAAATTTGACTAATGTATAAAACGGTTATCTTCTAGCAACTACTAATGAACTGAAAAGGTATTTGGCTAATTGAAAAAAAAAAACATTATTATATCTTCTGATTATTAAAATCAGATGTTTGGCCTTTTGTCACACACCTTTAGTATGAACAAGCCCATAGAGCTTTGAGAGAGGAATGCAAATTTCACATATTTTGTTTTACATTTATGACCGTTGTTGCTTTCACTTTACTAAACTCACACTATAAAAAAGCAGATAATTACAAACTACATCTTCATGCATTAGGTAAGCTCTCTATTTTACTAATATTGTTTTTCTGCTGAGGATAAGTATTAGTTGGGACTCTCCACATCTTACCTGTAATTTGACCTGGATCTGTAATGTTGGAAAATCATCAGGTGCATCACATCAGGGGATGGAATAGGAAAATAATATCATTTTCATGGGCACTAGCAGGCGACAGTGACTCTGGAAAGGTTACACACCATTTGACAGATCGTCACTTGGGGCCAAACTAACAACTAGAGGTTGTGGTTAAACGCGTGTTCGAAGCCCAGATGCTGTGAATGGAAGGCCTGGGTCATGGAGAGGTTGAATGCTGGGTGCCCTCACAAACATAATGAAGGAAAGCATTAGTTTTCTATATCAGAGCGGCTGAATGGCTCCAAAAGACATCTCCACAGGGGGCCCAAAAGCACTGGAGACAGGGCGGGGGGGAGGGTAAGGAACCATCTCCAACAAGAGCCACTAATGAGCCTCAAGGCAAGAAAGATTATATTATTACTGTCTACAAATCCAGACTAAACACACACCTGTGTCACTTTAAATCATGAATGTGTGGAGGTGATTAAAGTAGTATTATGAGTATTTCATTTTTTTTCTACAATATTCATATGGAATTACTGATTGTGCAAGTCTCACATTAGAACATCCTGTTTATTACAGCCCTTAATGATTGAATGGCCCATAGCATATAAACAAGTATTTCCCGATTGGATAATAATTTGCTTCATTCCATATTGCTTAGGGCGATGTTAATCTCATCTGGATAATGTTTCTAAACTGGATTTATTCAGGAAATTAGAATGGATACAAAAACAAAGGAAGTTAAGCCTAATTAAGTTTCATGCATTTAGGTATGTAATTTGCATGTTTCTTGGCTTTTTTAAATTACAGGCATTTTCCCTCCCCTTTGTTTCCTTTCATAGTCAGCCCGCCTGACAGCTGATATGTTTAACAATATAGCTGTCAATCAATTCATCGTAGGTTCTCTATCACACAGTTGATAACATTTCATAATGAACTTGTTTATATTAAAGGCCTATTAACCGAGCGCGAGGTCTGTATGGAGAAATTAGACCGCGGCCTTAATGTACAGACCGAGCCCAGCCGTGCAAAAAGGTCTGATATTTCTCTGTACAGACCGAGCAAGCAAGGTTAATACATGTTTTATTATATGACTCTCGTGTGTGTCTTTACCAATGCTTTTGAGATATTTGTGAAGTATGTTCATGTCCGACTTGGTTTTGTGGGATACGGGCTGTGGACCGATTGTCATGGTAACGGTCCGTGGAAAGATATCAAATGTGATACGCGCTGTTCGGACCAATTGTCATGGTAATGGTCCGAGATGGGAAAATATCTCAATCAACCAATCAGAGCGCGCGTACGGTCCAAGTCATATAATATAGGGATTTATTGTCTTTGCGATGTGACACCAACGTGAAATAGATCATGCCAGCAGTGATGATTTCCTCTGCCCACCTCC